ATTTCGGGAGGATTGGCCCCAAAGTGCTTTTACTGTTAGGGGGGGTGTTGATATGGGGGAAGGGATTATACCCAGCAGGGGAAGATCCCAAACTTCCCAGCTCAACCCTGCCTAATCCCCAAGAGCAGACCAGGAAGCCATGGCCGGAGGAGGGGTTTTCAAAGCTCCGACGTAAGTTCATCTCGCGCTCTGCGGCCTTGCCAGGAATACAGGGCTTTTCGGCTATCGGTTCAGCGTGCAATTCAAGCTCCGCCTGTTTCATACTCATACTATGAGCAGAACTGCCACGGCTGCACACGATTACGCGCACAAGTTTGGACTTTGGACTAACTCGCTTGTGGACGGCAAACGTTCATCTATGTTCTACTTGACACGGCGTGCAGGGGATGGAGACAGCCACTGAGCTCCACGCAGAGCCCTTCTTACCTTGAGGATTCATCCGCTCTAGCTTCTAGAACCGACAACAAACGGTCTTGTTGCTCACAAGCCGTAAACCCCAAACCCTAAACCCTAAACCCTAAACCCTGTCCTACGCTTCACCAAAGGTGTCAAGAGCTGGTGACAAGTCTCAACAAAGCCCCGGACCGCCCTTCGTTCCCGCTCGCAACTCTAAACTCAACATAACACTGCCCGAAAAGGTTTCGCTCTCTAGGTTCCTTGTTATGATTATAATATCATATATCCCAAAACCCTATTCTAATTGCTAAGGCCCCAAAAGTATGTTTTTCAGTCGGCCTTGACACAGATGTAGCCATCGCCAGACGCCTCCAGATCCAGGGATCCCGGATCCAGACATGAGACACTCACATTCAAGAACTGCAGGGGCCTTAATAATTTGAATAGGGTTTTGGGGCCCGCTATAGTAAGCTTATGATAAGGAACTCCCAAAATAGTACTCTTCTTCTTCTGATGGACTCCTGAGCTCCGAGAAGCACGTCCTAAATTCAACTTCCAAAATAGGATTGGTAATCATTTAGGCCCCTACATTATTCGGATGTTGGACGGCTGCAAGCTTGCCATGCAGAAGAACCCCTGAAAACCACGTCACGCGCCCGCGCCTTGCAAGCACTGCCCGCAGCACAAGGTGCAGAGTTGGGATGGCACTCGCGCCGTGGCGGCTTGGTCCAAAGCATGCTCGGGCTTGGGCTCGGGCTTGGGCTCGGGCTCTGGCTGGGCATGTTGGGCCCCTGATGCATTCTTTGGTGCATGCCCTCGTGTCCCGGGCCGTGGTCTGCGCCTTGCATGCCTGCACCCTGCATGCCTGCACCAGAGCCCCTCATCATGTGGCCACCCTCTCCGGCCACAGGTGAAGGCGAAACCGTAGCTGGCAAGTTCTTCTCTGTGCGGCGGCAAGTGCTGTGCTCTCCCTCCCCACGACAGGAGAGGCTTTCGGGGCCGTGGTTGTTGCCGTTGACCTCAACGAGCGTGGCCTGCATGGAGAAGCTGCCGTCTCCAACTCCGCCAAGCAAGTCTTCCTCCGTTCCTTGGCTTCTGCTTTGGGGTACACTCTTCACGATTGGGAACGCGAAAGCAGCTACCTCGAAAGCCATAACATATGCACTTGCAGAATTCCGCGAGGGCTTGAACACCCAACCAGCCCAGGCACTGATTTCGAGGATGCCTCCCTTTCGGGCAGCAGCCTTTGGCAGTACGAAATGCCTCGTGTGGCCCTCCGCCTGACCATTCGAGGCTGCTTGGCAAAATCGACCCCCCTACTGCTAAACCGTTGCCCCAAACTCTTGGTCAGACTCTCCTGACACCCCAAACCTTAAACCCTCGAAAACTTGGCAGAAGGAAGCTTTCCCTGGCATTGCTGGGTTCGAGTTCCTTGGGGATCTGCTACGGAAGGTCTTCTGGGCCACTGAGAGGAGCAGGACCCAACAGTTTATGTCTCTGCGCCTCTTTGGTCCCTAACCCCAACACCCCAACTTCTACTAGAACCTTCAATAGAGCCCTCATAAGCCCATAAAGAGCCCGGATAGAAACCTTCAGAGAGGGTCGTAGTCATAGCCCTCATCGAAGCCTTACAAAGCTCTACGGAGCTCTTCCAGAGGTCCTAAAGAACCCTCATGATTCACCTATACCCTCAACCCCAAACCCTACACCCTAAAATCTAAACCCTAAACCCTAAACCTCAACCCCAAACCCTAAACCCCAAACCCCAAACCCTAAACCCTACATACCCTCTAAAAAACAAAAACCTTGAGCCTGGCGCCCGATGAGGAGCTCCACGGACTCCGTGGACGAGGCGGCCACGTCGCCCCCGACGAGGACCAAAGAGAGAGAAAAGCCCTCCTGGGGTTCAGGGTGTAGGGGTTGAGGGTTTAGGTTGGGGTTTAGGGGTTAGGGGTTGGGGGTTTAGGTTGGGTGTTTAGGGTGTAGGGGTTGAGGGTTTAGGTTAGGGGTTAGGGTTGAGGGTTGAGGGTTGAGGGGTTGAGGGTTGAGGGTTGAGGGCTTAGGGTTTAGGGCTTAGGGCTTAGGCTTGTACGGTTGAGGGATTTGGGGCTTTAGGGTTTCGGGATTCCGGGATCTTTTGGGTCTAGGGTGTAAGTTTTCAGTTTTAGGGTTTCGGCTTGTTCGGCAGGTGCTGAGGGACTTGGAGCTAGAACCTAGTTTAGAATGCTCTAGCTTGTGGTTTCTTTTTCCCTGGCTCGATAGCCAGGGTTCGGGTCCGAGGATTGAGATCTAGGGAACAACACGAGCTGTGAGAGCTCCTGAGCCAAGTTCATCTTTCTTGTACGTTGGGTCTCTGCGGGCATGTACGAAGTAGGGCCGAGATCTTCAAGAACACTACACTATGAACCATAAACCCCAGACCGATGGTCTCGTGTTCGGTGAGGGGCAATGGCTCCAGACTAGTACGTACGCGGTCTTCTGGCTCTAGCCGAAAGCAGCACACTCCAAAGCCACAAAACGTCAAATACGGAGGCCATCACCCTGAACCCCGAGAAAACCCCAAAAAAGCCTCAAAGTTGAAGGTCTAAAGCAGTCCAAAGCCCAATCTCCCTAAACCCTAAACC